AATATTTAAAATTTAAAACTTGTTTCTCACTTTTGATTGTACATCTTTGGTTTGCAGTTTGATTTATTCCAGAGCATCTGCTTCACAAGTTCAATTTAAGTCAAATTTTTCCACACAGACACACTAACTGCAAAGACTCCCGATGTGTGCTTCACACACACAGGTCAAAGAGGTAAAAAAGTTTTAATAAATAATAATAGCACTGTCATAATAAATATTGATTTAGAGCTGTTTATTGTAATTTCTAATGAAAATGTGGTGAACCCTGTTAAACCAAAGCCCTTGGTAGATTGGTTTAGATCTGGTTTTAGACCTATAAACTGTAATATTTAAAGCCGAAATGTTGAAGTCATTCGAAACTGATACAACCCCCCCACCCCACCCCACCCCCCCAAAGAATGAAAAGTCCAGTTTGTGTACATTTCCATTTTGTATGTTGCTCATTTTTTGAATCGTGTGTACAATGTTTGGTACTCATGTTCGTTTCCAGTCTATGCTTTGCATAGTATCTTGTCTGATTTTGTTGTATACAATACAAAATTAACTTTTATCCCCTCCCCTGCAAATGTGTCACTGTCACTTTTAATAATCGATGGCTAAACAAACTTAGTGTTAGAAAAAAAACCTACCTATTTTTGTGAGTAATTAGATGGTAATCTTTTGCTTGCGTCGCTGGTCGTATTCCAGCATATGTTCCAATCACATTTTTATTTCTCAATGCAGGCACAGTCTTGCGTGCATAGTTGACTAGTTGGTCTATGGTCTCTTTGTCCGTACTACGATCGATTCTACTCTCTTGATCTTCAGCTGTTGGACCAACAACAATATTACCATACACTGAAGGAGATACAACGTAATAGGAGGAATGATATATGATGAAGTATAACTGCAAGAAATCCATACAATGAATAAATTTAATTGAGGTTGCTTGTAGGGAATAAATTTCACAGAAAGTCACTGTAAATTTCTTTAAAAAAAAGCCTACTGTTTTCAATGCTATAAAATATTATGAATCCTCCATATTGCCATTTCAGTCAAATGTTACCGGCCTACAACTCACCAGTCGGAAATACAATGATTCCTTTATAACTCTGATTGAATGGTACTGGTAATATCATACCATTCAACAACTCCTTGGGGGATCTTTCAAAAATAGCAAACTGTCCTTTTCTTGGCATTATTCTAGGTGAAAATAGAATAAAGCTCATTTAAAAAAAAAAAAAAAATTGATGTACTTTTTTCATTTCAGTGGTAAACTAGTAATTACATCAGTGTAGAATTAAAACAGACGATCAGATTTCCTTGACTTTACCAATAATGTTTCATTAACTTGCCTCGCATGATATTAAACTGTTGAGGGATAGCGGTTACTGTGTGACTTTGATGAGATAAATTGTTGCAATATTTGGGAACTTTTATCCAATTCATGCTATTGAAGGGACCATGAGATTAATAAAGTACATTTAGTATCAACTGAGAAACAAAATAATTTTTTAATTAATTTTCTAAAAAATAATTATTTCAAACTGGTGAAATCCAAGAGTTGGTGGTTTGAGTTATTACCAAGGTAGTACGGAACACCTTTCACATACAAAATTGTCAGAAATATTTTTGCCATTCGACTAATACCGTTGGTAGGTGTCGCTATTTTGGTTGTTTGCTGATTTGTTTGTTGAATGTCCATATGGAGCAATGATTAGTGAAGTCATTTGAAACGAACGCTATTGACAATAAATACAGTACAGTTTTGTCTTCATATTGTGACAAACAGACAAACAGTAAAATGACAAGCAAAGTTAAAGAATCTTGTTCTGATTCACAGTCACCATTTTGATCAGGTATACCCTGTATTAACCACTTTATTTTTGTGTGAGAAAAAGTTTTTGCACAAGTCGGTGAAAATACAACAAATATTTTAAGAAAACAGTATTCTTGACAAACTGCTCAACTTACTGGAAAGAACTTTCTTTATTTATCTTCTCTACTTCATCTCCATAAAGACCAGCACAGTTAATCACAGCTTTACCTAACAGCTGACCTCTTGTTGTTGTTAGCAACCAATCATTAGTAGTTGTTTGGTATCCATCTGTAACTTTGCAGTTTCTGAAAATCTAATAAAAATATTTTAAGCTTTCAATAAGAGAACTGAAAGTGCGAGTCAATCAAGAAAATTCTTGTGATAGAGAAAAAAACTTGTACATTCTTCATTATCAACATACCTGAGCACCGTGTTGAAGTGCATCATGGGCCAATCGTATCGGCAAAAGCCACGGATCCACAACAGTTTCACCAGGTATAATCACAGCACCAAGTGCATCATGCGATAAGTGAGGTTCCATTTCTCGTAGTGCTTTCTGTGATATCTGTCGTACATCTGTCACTCCCACAAGATGGGACTGACGGACGATGCCTGGTAACTTTGCCAACTGATGAAGAATGGAAAAAAAAAATTGAACACAATAAAATTGATAACTAGTTTTAATACGATAAACAAACATTTTAATAATAATAAAGGGAATGGATCCGATCGGAGAGATTGAACAGTTACAGGTTTGAGTGAAAAGTAAATTAAAACCCATTTTGCATAACAGTAAGACTAGATTTAAAGAGTTTAGCGGTAAATGTGAATAATGACATACTGGTTACGGTATGTGTTTAAAATCATTAGATTACTGGCCAATATTCTAGCCAAACAATTATTTATAATAGGTTTCTTAAATATCGAACAATAAGTAAATGATACTGACCTCGTCTTGATTCCAAGCGACTAATACAGCACCTGTCATTTTATGAGGCACCTCATATTTCCTGTATACATTTGTATTGAGTTTCCTTGCAGCTTTCAGTAATTGTAACTCCCTGAACTGGTGAGCATCAAAGCCAGTATGCGCCATCCCACTGAAAACAAAGAAAATGCACTTACACTACGTGCCTCTGTGAGCCATATATTGTGTGTTTATTTCTACTGACAAGAATTAAAGTGCAGTAGTTGTCATGCTGCGCATGCGTGAGATATATGGGGCTCATATAAACAAAGATGGCGACTTTGACTGTTGCGCAGATCAATGAGTACGAACTGAGACGTTTCCATGCTTTAATTAGGTAATTTTCATGTTATTCGATGGTATGAAGGAGTCACCTGCAGTAATCAGTGCAAGTCGCGCCCAGGTCAAATCTCATACTTGTGATTTCCATTTGAAGAGCGCATTGGATTGTGGGAAAATCGATGTTTATCAACACAACGACGACTACCGCGCTTTAAGAATGAATGGAATGATCTTAATTATGGTTTAGTCTTTGATGGTGACAGAATTGAGTGACTCCAACCAATGACATTTTTCAAGCCAAAAAGGGTTGATCTTTTTGGGACCAGTTTTCAACTCTCATCAAAATTCAAAGTGAGTAACACCCTCCTCCTCGGCCGGGCAAATGGCTAATATCATAAATACGGTAACCAATGTCTAAAAAAATGCTACAGGATACATGTTTTCTGTAAACTTGTCTGAACAGGGTAGCCATTTTTACATATTTTGGCTGTCTGGAAAGGAATTTAGAGGTACTGCTGGCACACTAGCTTTTTATTTTCAAGTGTCCATCCCCTTCAGAGGAAATGGTCCCAGAAATGAATCAACAGTAAAACGAAAGGCTACACTAGAACAGCATCATTGTCATTAATCCATCAATTAATATATAATAACTAGCTCTCAGCATTTTATTTATTTTGATATTATGACGTATCACAGTAATTATATTGTGTCACCCGGTATATGATTATACATGTATATAACTTTTTGTTATGGACGGTCTTGATATATATATATATATATATGCAATGACTTTTAGTGACTTATTACCTATTTCCAGAACTGGCCTCATCCACTAGTTCTGCATTTTTTCTCGCACAGAACACATGTATATCCATGTGAAGTGAGCTCGTGCAAAACAGCGCAACCGATTACACCCCCGCCAATTACAACGACGTCGTATCGTTCCATTTCCGGCTTCCCATCGAAATCAGCTGTTCTAAACGAGGCACACCCCTTGACCTTTCACCGCCTCTGACGTCACTAAACCTAAAAATGGCTGCCGAGGTCGGGAATGTACTAACATCGCCAGTTCTCGACAAATAGTTTAGCGTTGCCACAAGTTTCCTGCATCTGTAATCAGCAATGACGACTAATTCCGCTTCAAAATCGACCTTTACGTCGTACGTCGACTTGAAAAAAGATGTAAGTAGTGCCGTAGGGTGTTATTTTTATGTTTTCCCCAAGTCAAACAGGACATGTTTCGGAACCGCAGTTAACCGGACCGTACAACTCGAATTATTCACAGGACCTTTAAGTTGTTCGTGCCGCCAGTGTTTTCTGGCGTGTTACTGACAAGTTTGATTACATTATAGGCCCCTGAGGCAATCGAATCAAGTGGTGAACGACGTGGTACTTTCAAATCGTATATTAATTGGTCATATGGAAGTAAAAAGCGCACTGATATTGCGGCAGTAAGTTACAATTCATGAAAGACGTTGTTTCTGCCTCGCCTGGTGTAATAATGCATTTACGCTTCTTTCAAAATCAAAACATTTAAAGTTTGCTTTTCTTCGTATTTCATGGTGTCATTGCAAAATTTGTTGTATCCACACACATTGTACTTTAATTTACTGACAAAAAGATTATTGTTTATTATTTTTTTATCACATTGCATCCTCCTCTGTTCATGCAAATTGTAAACAAATGCATCCACACCCAGTTTTAAATAAGTGGGGTGAATCCAGTATCATAAAGATGTCATGTGTGAAAAGTGTTATTTATTTAGATATTTTATTTATTTGAACTGTTGGTAACTGTTCCAAATACATTTGTTGCATTCAGATTAAAGATCTTCTTTGTCTGTGCTGAGCATCTGCACCAAGTCACAGCATGTGCCACGCATGATGTATGTATGTGTATGTGTGTGTGTGTGTGTGTGCGTGTCTGTCTGTCTGTCTGTCTGTGTGTGTGAACAGTTGGGACCGAGCCAGCACATGGTCCCTTTCTGAAATCTTGTAACTTTAACTCAATTACCATACTAGTATTTGCTCTATTATAAGCATATGTACATGATCTTCTTTTGGCCATAGACCTGCTACTATCATTTACATGTGCATATGCAAAACTAAAGCAAATACAAAAAATATTCAATGTTGTGGTTTTTGCAGGGGTTTCCATTAGCAATTATGAGACGTCAAAGATCATATTAATGTTATAATTGTAGTGAATTACGGGCAAAACACGCCAACATCCAATACCTATTTAATATATGTAGAGGAATCATAATTTTATCTGCATCTTTTGTAAAAAACTTTGTGCCATCGTATCTCACTTTTGCCAAGAGTGTGTTATGTATTAACTTCTGTTAAACGAGTATATTAGTCACTATAGTGTACAAATAGTACTGTGAAATACTTTATTTTAACTGGAATTAATTTTCATCGAAAAGACTTTTTGGGTGTTTTGTATGGATTTTTTATTTTCACTGATATTTGACGAGTTAAATGAAAATTATAGGATAAAAAAGACTATTCACTTGATTTTATTTTCACTGAATCATTCCTTCAGCAAAAATAATGAAAATTAATTCCAAGCGAAAGTAAATTATTTTACAGTGTAGGGTATGCAGAGATTATAGAACCAATAAAATTGACTGGAAAAAAAAACAAAAAAACCTTGGTTTTATCCTGTAAACTATTTAATTTGTCAGTGCTAAAAATGTTCGCTGTGACTCCCTGTCCTAATTTAAAATGACATTGTTCAAAACATAAACATTACTCACTATCATAACTAGTACTTTATCATCACAAAAAATTATTTTGAATTAAATAGCTGGCTTATAAATGCAACAGTCTGCTTTTAGCAGATCTCAACAAATTGGCAGTTACTGATATGTAAAACCACAGTCCCTCTATCCTGAGAGGGACTGTGGTGGTTAAACACCTGTTTTGTGAGCTCTCCTAATACATATGTGCAGTTCTGGCAACTCTACCGATTTAATTAATGAAATGAATTCTTGACTGCTACAACATTGAGTGATTATCTTCTGACCAGTATTCCCTCTAAGCCTTATTTTCGCAAAATTTTCTCAGATTCAATTATAGTTTCTCAGTGGAATTTTTGACTTTTGAGAAACTTTCCATGCATTTTGTATGCAGAAAAAACATTTCAAGGGAAAAATGGGCAAATTTTCACAGTATTTTCAAGATTCAAAAATATTAAAGGGAACAGTGCTTCTGACTTTTGTAGAATTAGTCTGTTACAAAATTAAATCAGTTTACACTTTAACACAATCACTACCTACTACTACTACTGGTGTGTGTTATTACTGTCAAACTACTTGAGAAGGTGTACTGAGGTTCTCAGGAAGTAAGGTTTAGATCAAGTGACAAGTTATTAATATTTAATCTTTTCAATGCTATACATTTAGGTGCAACATTTTGATCATTTTTATAATTAAATTTAGATTTTCAATTTCTTTGTTAACTTTGGATCGAATGATAAATTTCCAATTTTTTATAGGTCTTTTTGAGAAATATCTGATTTTTGTTTTGTTTTTGGTGAAAAGGGAGCGAAGTTTACTTTTCTGTTAAATACTAGTATATTTGTACTTCTGCAATGGGAGACTTTTTATTGAGATTGTTTTATGTACTTGTTTTTATTAATTGGTTAATTTTGGATCAAATACATGTAATTTCGCATTGGCTAGAATTTTGATCCAAGTTTTTCAAAAATATGAAACAAATTATGCAGATTTTGTTTATAAAAAGTTACAGAAATTGACTTTGGTGTTCAAATGGTTAAAAATGAAATTGTTAACCTGTATGTAAAATGTTTTTTACTTGTACTAACACAAGATTGTTGGATTAAGAATTCAAACTTCCCTGTAGTGCAGGATGTATTGTTTTCATTTTCAAATCTGCATTCAATGTGCCAGGAAATAGTATTTATATTCTCTCACTCTCTCACCAGACAATGTGTTCTCCCGTCAGTTCTGTGTACACACATACATACATTTTTTTTGTACTTTTTTTACTTCGTTGTAGAGTCAACTATATTTCATTGTTTCTTTGTTTATTTCATTATGCTATATGTATGTGCATGTAAAATTTCATTTGTTGTAATTAATTGTAATTTTTTACCATTTATAGACACTTGTGATATATACTAAGGTGTAAGGCAGCACTGCATGGAATGCAACACTGATGTATGAAAAAAAAAATGATTTGTAGTTTGCATCTACCAATTATCTCGTAAGACATTATTAATGAGTTTTGTAATAACATTATCCTCTCTTGCAGGTGTCCAAAGCTGCAGAAGATGTCTTTGAGCAGAAGTTGGAACCGAAACTTCTGTCAGGTACATAGCAGTATATTTCCTTGTTCCTTGTCCCTGTTTAGACATCAACATCTGTCTGGTTGCTACTCTAATTATTTGAAGCTATTAAATTGGGTAGGCAGACCTGATACTGGAAATTACTTAATTTTCACATTATTTATTTTCACTATTTTCGTTGATGGAATGAATCAGTGGAAATAAACTTCATACAAAACCAGTAAATTAAAATGAAACTGATTCCATTCTAATTATTTGCCAGACATGTGTAGGTGTGGGAAAGTGTTGTAGTTCATTTTATCAAGTAGCGTTTCTGATATCAGTAAAATATACCAATGCGAAAATTTGTTTTGTTTTGCTTAGTGTTAATTCACAAAAAAAGGATCAATATAAATTGATGTGGGTTTACACGTACGAGTACCTAATAAAGCACTATAAACACAGACCGTATGTGGGTCAAAGTAACAGGGCTCATAGTCCACAAAGGTTACTGTCAAGATAGCACCAACTTCTTGCCTTGCTCTTCAAAATAGACATTTTAAATTTTCTTAAATGTAGTTTTAGCCTTGAAATTTGGGTGCCTCTCAAATTCAATCAATTCAATCTCTGTGGTAGGTGTAAGTAGTTTTGACCTTTGAGGATGAAGTCATATTTGACCTCATGTACATCTAAGATTAGAAGCTGTATATGCACTCTAATCGCTACGCAAACAATAAAAACATTTCAGTCAGTGTTAATTATACCTGGTGCATTTCCTATGCTGACATTCACCTCGGACAGTTAGCGATCAAATTTATCTTGCTTAATAATTATAAATCACACGTGGTACTCTCGGATGGATCACATTTGGCTAGTAATATTGTATTCTTCTCAGGCCCCAGTTGTAGTTTAATGTTCTTAATTAGCTACATTAAATGTGAAAAAATATCTGTATATATATACATTATACCAAATTCTCAAATAAGCACATTGTATCACAATATTATTTACATACCATTAGAATTTACCATGGTTATCCTTATTGAATTCCTATGTTTTTCACGCACAATTTGACCTGCAACACCGTCCTTTGACCTGATAGGTCAAGTCTGTTTATTAACCAAGCAGAATTCATTTGTACCAAAGCAATTCTCAGGGAATTCCAAAAACCATTTTAGTAATGCCATGCGGAAGTGAATTATTGTTGTTGCTCTATGATCTGTTGGAATTGATTTCATAAAAAATGATTTAAAATAAAAATGGTAATTAGCAATATTTGTAATAATAGGACACCTTAATCTTAAATCTTAAAAACATTGCTATTGATGTTTGTTTGCATTGTCTTTTCTAGGTGAAATAATTATCGCCCAAGCTCATCACGTACTAAAATACAACACGTTTGGTGACCTGAAACATGGCGTGTCAGGATCTTTATATTGCACTAATTTTAAAATCAGCTTTGTCACTGCAGAAAGATCATCATATGATATGGTAAGATCAGACGTTTTAAATTTGTTTAATTTACGTAATCAAATCAGTTCGCACTGGTACATGACTAAAATGTGTGTGGGTGATGATGATAGCACGTCTTGTGTATATCCATTGTTGCGAAAGAGACTGTGTTAAATCAAAACCATCAAAAAATGCTGAATTAAAAAGTAGACAGCCTAAAATTTCATTACATAGTCACCCAGTGTCATTTTTCTCCAAACAAATCACATTAACGGACCTGGTCAAATACATTTTTTTATTTTATTGGAAACAAAAGTATATTCTAAACGAAGTTTCAAATAATAACGAACACAATTGCATTGCGTAGCTGCAAATGATCATGGTTGCGCATTCTGGTCTTGCTGCGTTTCACAATTGTTGATTATTACTCAGTAGTGATTATAATAATGTACAAAAAATAAATTTGTTGAATTGTTATGAAATGCAAATAAAATTCAACTTAGTTTCATCATAAGCAAATGAATCCGGTGGCATGTAAACACTTGATGCTGTCGAGTATCCGCCATGTTCTTCTCTTGCATGAGTTGACCTAATAGGTCAAATCGCTAATTCGTCCCCGTTCAGACGCAGTCCGAAAACGGGGACTTATGTTTTGACCTCCGTGTGTGCGTGCGTCTGAACCCTGTATCTTAGAAATGCCTTAATTAATCACAATCAAACTTCACACATACATCATACATGATATTATACATATGCACGTCGATTTGTTTCGCGATCTGATTCAAGATGGCCGAATGGCGGCTATTTTTGTGCTAAAAATCATCAAAATCAAGCATTTCTCGGCTGTTTACAGATGGATTTTGTTCAAACTTGGTATATACATTAGACATTATAGGACCTTGATGCACATCATTTTGTTTTTTGATCTGATTCAAGATGGCCGAATGGCGGCCATTTTTGTGCTAAAAAATCCAAAAAATCAAGCATTTCTCTGCTGTTTACAAATGGGTTTTGTTCAAACTTGGTATATACATTAGACATTATGGGACCTTGATGCAAATAATTTTGTTTTTCAGATAAGATTCAAAATGGCCGACTAGTGGCCATTTTGTTTTAATGAATGTGGTTCTCGTGCCATATCTGGGAGTCTAATGTTTATGTTAGACTGTATTTATGATCACACGGTGATTTGCATAATCTCGTTTTGGCATCAGTTTCTCAGTTTTATCTGTGTCAGCGATTATGTTTGTTGCAAGTTGAAGTTTATTTCTGGATTCTGTACGAATTTACACCAACTTTTCGCACGATGGAGAATTCTACAGTTAATACCAGATGACGGGGTCGTAAACGTGGAGTGCTTACTGCACCCCAAACAACAGAGCCAGTGTTGCCGGGCCACGAGGAGAAAATCAAGTCGTCGAGGCCGTGGTAGGGGTCGCCATCGATCCCTTTCTTTACCAAATAACGCCTTGGGCGATGTCAACGAACTATCGAGATCGCGAACGTTTGATGCCTCAAACCCTAACAATTGGACGGCGGCTGAAGTCCGACAGAAACTTTTGGAAATGGGCATAACGGTACCACAGTCCATGAATAAGAAAGAGGCGATTCAACTATACAAATTGAACTGCCAAGGCCGTGTTTCGACCACCAGCAGTGACGGTACAGTTACACGTACCGGTGATGCAATCGAGAATCGCGGAACTTTAGAACTCACTTCACAGACTATTGAATCAGCGGATGTTACAGCCAACAACTCAGGCAATGTTAACGCTGCAACTAATATGGAAAGTCTTATTCAGGAGGTCAGAGAGTTGCGAGAAACGGTTCACGGATGGCGTCGTTCACCCGATGATGTTGAAAACAACATGGCCGCTGTTCCATCGCGGGGGTCACCTCAGGAATTTGACAACGTCGCGCCACGTACAGTTACAGTACCAAGCCTTCACGACACGGCTCTTGGACAGGATCGATCCGCTACCTTACCAGCGAGACGACGGTTTGGCGTAGCTTTGCACGAATTACCTAGAATCGTGCCAGTTTCAGATTCCTTGAAAACCAGTATACTTCAAGGTAAATATGTTAATTTGGCTACCTTACTGATACCAGCTCATGACAGTTCAGAGAGTCGCACTATTATTGATGCAACAGGTAACGAGATTAAACTGAAGGGAAATCCTGACCCTCGACTAAACAAAGTTCTCACTCACAATGAATTCTTGGTGGCGTTCGGCAAATATCAATCAATTATATGCGAAGCGTTTCCACATCGTCGTGAAGAACTTGTTTGTTACCAAGCTCTTATTACCAACATGGCCGTCAATTTTGGGGGTAGCTTGTTTTATGATTATCATGTGGAATTCGCAAACCAAGCTGCAGCATGGCAAGCACAGCGTAATATTAAAGTGGATTGGTCGATTAGAGATTCTGAAATTTATATGAATCTTACGTCCGGACGTCGATGTAATACTTGTACAGTCTGTGGCAGTACTGGGCACTTGGTTGATTTTTGTCCCCGTAAACAGTTCACTCCCCAGTTTCTACAACGTGGGGATTCCAGCAATGACAGTCGCGGTCGTCCTAAAGTTTTCTGGAATGGTAGAGAGATTTGCAACAATTTCAATTTGGCTTATAAGGGTTGCACCAGGAACCCATGTCCTTTTATTCATGTGTGCACTTCATGCAAAGCCAACCATCCTGTTAATACTTGCTCAAAGTCTATCGCAAAAAGTAAGGGATCTTCTGCTGCTCCTGGTAATGTCAATGCTACCCAGTGACTACCAAAGTCAGCCACCACACCAATCAATGTTGATAAACTAGAAGAGTTATTGATAGCGCACCCAGAATCTAACTTTGTTTCATATTTGTGCAGTGGTTTACGAGATGGTTTTCTGACTGGGATTGAAAATGCACCTACTGATTCATTTGACTGCCGCAATAACTTATCTGCTAGACAGAACCCAGAAGTTGTTTCCCGTTTACTTCAGTTAGAGTTAGATAAGGGGTATATTATAGGACCCTGTGAATCGTCACCTTTTCCTGTTTACAGAATCAACCCACTTGGGGTGGTTGAAGGGAAATATTTGAAAAAACAGAGACTAATAGTTGATTTATCCGCACCGCATAACAATCCACAGGTTCCCAGTTTAAATGAACTCGTAGACAAGGAGACATATTCCATGTCCTATATTAAAATTGATGATGCCTTTCAGGAGATAAAGCGTCTGAATGGGTGTGCTTACATGTGCAAGTTTGACATTACAGATGCCTTCAAACAATTACCACTGCATCCATCAGTATGGCATCTACATGGCATTAAGTGGGATGGGAAGTTCTACTTTTTTGTAAGACTTGTTTTCGGGTCTAGGTCCAGCCCAAAGATTTTCAATAGTCTTTCGCAGGCCATTTGCTGGATTGCGGAACATAGATTTAATGTGAGATTCATCCTACATTTACTAGATGACTTTTTAACCATAGATCCGACAGAGGAAGTCGCTATGAGATCTATGGCAATTATGACCATGATATTCAACTCACTTCGAGTACCTTTGGCAGCTCATAAAACCTTTGGACCTGTGCAAGAGTTAGAATACCTGGGCCTCATGCTCAATTCTAAGACTATGACCGTGTTCTTACCAACAAATAAAATGGGCGGGATTACTGCCAAAATCTCAGAATTCTCTACTAAGCGCACTGTTACGAAGCGGGAGCTACTATCTTTGTTAGGTCACCTGAACTTTGCAGCCCGAGTAATCATACCAGGGAGGTCCTTCATTTCTTACTTGCTCCAGCTGGCGTCGTCAGTTTCCCAATTACATCATCATGTCACGTTCACTACGGCTTGTCGGTCAGAATTATCTATGTGGAGACAGTTTCTTATTTCTTGGAATGGTATACATTTGATTCTGACTACTATCTTTGTAGGTCACTGAACTTTGCAGCCCGAGTAATCATACCAGGGAGGTCCTTCATTTCTTACTTGCTCCAGCTGGCGTCGTCAGTTTCCCAATTACATCATCATGTCACGTTCACTACGGCTTGTCGGTCAGAATTATCTATGTGGAGACAGTTTCTTATTTCTTGGAATGGTATACATTTGATTCTGAACAGCCAAGTGGTTAGTTCTTCAGACCTGCATATTTTCACTGACGCATCATCTACTAAAGGATTTGGGGGCTATTTCCAGGGGAGTTGGTTTAGTGAAGTATGGCCACCACAGTTGCTCTCCGTGCGACATGATAAGCTATCTATGGCGTTATTGGAACTTTATCCTATTGTAATTGCGGCAATGCTGTGGGGAAGGCATTGGTCTCAACAGAGAATTCGCTTTAACTGTGACAACCAGACAACAGTTCATGTGTTGAGGAAAGGAAGAGCTTCATCACATTGCCACTCTATTAATGCTCTCTTGCGCCGCTTAACCTTAACAGCCATGAAACATAATTTCATTGTGTTGGCACAGTTTGTTCCTGGCAGGCAGAACTCTATTGCTGACGCTTTATCACGCTTTCAATTGCAGAAATTCCACAGTCTGACACCAGAGGCAGAACTGAACAAGACACTGTGTCCACCGTTTTGCAAAGTAACACTTATTTAGGGATTGAAGTGCGTGAGTTGTGGAGTGCAACAATATCACATAGTACAAGGCAGGTGTATGACTCTGGCTTGGCCCTCTTTACCAATTTTCTGTCTATGCACAATGTACCATGTTCAACTTTTAATTTACCAGTGCTTTCTGAGGATTTGTTGTAGTTATTTATTACACACTGCTACAAACATTTGCACCTCCGAGAATCGACTATTCGACTTTATCTTGCTGGTATACGATTCAAGTACATTGAGGCCGGGGTGACAAATCCCTGGCAGAGTTCAGTTAATATACCACTGTTGCGTGTAAACTTATTACTCAGAGCCATCAAGCGCGATCAGGGACAGTGTTCCAGGACACGGCTTCCTTTCACTTCAGCTATTATTTTTTCAATGTTTTCGAGGTTGCAGGCAGGACTGTTTACTGGTTTTACCGACATTCTTATGCAAACTGTTATTTTGCTAGCCTTTTTCGGATTTATGCGTTGTGGGGAATTCTCTGTTTCATCTAAATTTGATAGTAATGTTCACTTATGCATAGGCGATGTCAGTTTTAGCGCTGATGGTCAAGCTTCCCTTAGATTGAAGTCTTCTAAGACTGATCCCTTTCGTAAAGGGGCAGTTATTAAATTTTACAGTAATTCTCGGATGTGCCCAGTTCGCACACTACAGCGTTACCTAACTTTTAGGGCTGCTATGCAACCTTCACCTTTGTTAAACCACCCCCTTTTTGTAACTGCAGATGGTCAGCCTATGACTCGGTCTATTTTCCTTCAGTTTTTGCATCAAATTTTACTTGCATTGGGGTTAGATACAACTCAGTATTCTGGCCATTCTTTCCGAATTGGTGCCGCTTCCTCAGCAGCTGAAGCAGGGATCCAGGATCACATGATAAAGGCCCTGGGACGATGGTCATCTGACAGCTATGTCAGGTACATTCATACAACAGATACCTCCATCGGTCATGCTCATGCAGTATTGAGCAACAGCTGTTATGATCACGCTTAAATTTCATCTTGGGGGCATTGCTGCAATTATTTATTGCAGCATATTTCGGGGGCTTTGTATTAGTGGATTATACTCATTTGTTCCCCCAAGATTTATTTCCCTAGTTTATTTTTAGTATGTATTTTTGTCATCCTTGTGTTTATAGTTCACCCAAGTGTTTTCTCTTAGTTTATATATAGTATGTATTTATTTTCATCCTCATGTATATTAACCTACCATACTTGTAGCTATGGCTTCCGCCATTTCTACCTTGCCAGGCAGCTTCCGCTGCCTTACTAACCCTTACGTGGTCTCGGCTTACGCTGTCTCTGCTAGTATGTGCAGCCTCCGCAGCACTACTGATAACTTACTTACCTCAGGTAGTCAATAGCCTTCGCTGTTCTACGAGGTAGTCTTATCTCAGCTACCACAGCTTCACCTCATAATCATTACTGATTACAAATAGTTAACATTTATTTATCTTTATCGCAGTTTGTTTTTAAGAAGTTTTCTGTATGTTCTGTTACCAGGTGCTAAAGGTCATTAGTACTGTCACTAACTGACCTATCTGGGGGACCCGCTGTGGGACACGTTATCTAATGTTTAAGAAGGTAGAAAATCTGTTGGTGGCAATACACACTATTTATGTACGAGTCACAGTAAATATCTATTGCAGAGCAAAGTTTCAGTAATGTAACACAAGTAATCTAATTTCAAACTTTCCTGGCACCAACCGCTAATTCCAATTTAATTTTTTCGCACTAGTTCCTGATTGATGGCTATTCAAAAATACCATGTAAAATTTTGAACGAAAATGGGTAAAATCTGATTGACAATTTTTACAAAAAATCATGCTATTTTTCACCAAAAGCAAAACCAAAAGATAGTACTTATAAACCACTGCTGTGTTGTGTTGCATTCACCATACAAAAGTAATGAGAAATATGTTTGGCTGCCACCACCCAGCATTCTGATTGGTTAACGAATAGTATGACCTATCAGATCAAATGAGGCAGTTTCAGATCAATTCAAGCATTAAACAAACATGACGGATATCATTCAGCATTATGTAATGTTATGTTTGTGTGCGATCAAAAATGTTTCCTTTTGATGAAAAAATAATTGTATTTAACTTGCATTTGATTTTCAAAACAAACAAATCTGATATTTTGTATGCTATCATAACCACGACTGAATAATAATCAATGTTTGTAATAATATGAATACATGCAAGGTGAAATACCAGTAGTATGATTAGTTTACATTACTGTAGAAT